TGCCTTTTTATTCTCATGTTTTTTATGGTAAGTTTTCTTTTTGTGTCCTTTGTCTTATAATTTCTGTGAGTCGACTTTTACATTCTATGTTTAAGGGTCGTTTATCTTATCAGTTCCTTTAGTGGTTTTGTACTTTAGGTGTTACTTATTGTTTTATGTTTTAGGTCGATTTTCTTAGTTTTGTAGGTGTGTTACTTTTAAGCTTTTTATAGTCTACACGTTCCTAAGTTTTGTTAGTTCATTAGTTCTGAACACTTTCTTCAATTTCATTACTTTATGTGTCATTTTGGCAAATGAAGTTCAAGATAGCTATGGGTGAGATGAGGTAGGTACCTGTCAGAAATACATTTTTGGTGTTAGAAAATGTTAACTTTCATTCTCTAGCTGTGTGAGCATTGTGACAGTTATGTGGTAGGTGTCTTAATGATTCCATACACTGTTGGCCTCCTTTCTAGGTAGAAATCTTTCTTTCTGCATACTGTAACCTGTGGATGGATTTTACCATTGACCTTTGTGTTTGTGGACCTATTATAATACAACTTGTTTCAAGTCTGTTCCTGGTGCCCAGAGTTTCCATGTTTCTTTTTTTCAATGCCATAAAGTAGAAGAGTCATCCTTGATCTGAACATATCTATGATCTTAGTGTATGAATAGTTTATTAGAAAGGGTGGTTACATAACTTTCCAAAAAGCAGTCAATTTTAGAGGCATCACCTTGCCTATGAAAGGTCAAACAGTATCAAAATGTAGTTCTGACACCTTCCATTGCAGTTTAATATTGATTGTGGTTATCATGACATATGACTTGCTGATATTTACATATTCAAAATGGTTTTAATGTAGATTTGTATACATAAAAGTCATGAACTATTTAACTGAAGAATTTTTAACATACCAGAATTTGTTTGTGAATGAGTTAATTATAATGAATTATAGATAATTGCAGATTTGTTATATACATATATTAGTAAGATAGTAACAGATTTAGCTATTTTTATTTTTTTAAAGTTTCACAAAAATCCTTTTTTTTACCAGAAAACTTGGTTCAACCAGTTTTTAAGGAATAATTATACATTTTCTAATAACATATTGTTTTGTGTACTAGCTGTACAAATTGGAGAAAACCCCCTCCAAGCACCAAAATGTGTTCACAGATTACATCCCACTCAACTCGTAGAGGGAGAACCTGGAAAGCTGGAAACCAAAGTTCTTGGAGTTCCCAAACCTGATATTTCTTGGTATGGTCTGTTTATATCTTCAGCTATAAGTATTTTTTCTTTGTTATCACCATACCAAAGTTACTGTATCTTTTATGAAAACTTGTAAAGTTAAACAACCCACAAACTATTTTTTTTAGGTTGAAAGATGGAGAAGAAATTCAACCTAGTAACCATGTGAAGATGATTGAGAAACCAGATGGCACAGTTGCACTGCTTTTAGAGAAGGTCACACCAGAAGATGCTGGAAAATATACTTTTGTGGCCAGAAATGACAAGGGAGAAGTCAGAGATGATGCTGATGTATCCAGTAAGCTTTAATGATCTTTGCACGGAAAGTTTTTTTTGTTTTATTACCTTTTTAATTCATTGTATATGTATATATATATATATATATATATATATATAGTGTATATATAGTAATCATTCTGCTTGTAATATTTGGAAATATTTAAGCTGTAAAATGTATATATAGGAGAATGGTTGCTAGGTTTTGGTATTTTAATTTATATAAACAGACAGCTTTTTTTTTACATCTAACGTTGCTTTAAGGTAACAATATTGTGAGTGAATGTAATTTAATTAAAGAAGTCATCCGATGCTATGCATGTTTTGAGCATGTATGCTATTTTTTTAAACTAATCTTTTAGGTGTTTGTAACACAATATTTCTTTATTATTTGAGGTATTTAAAATTATGAAAATACCATATTCAATTTTTTATGTCTTTCCACAGCTGTTCCACCTAGTACAAAAGATGAAAAACCATTAGCTAAGAAACCAGAATTTGAACACCAGATAAGGCCAACACTACTAACTGAGGAAAAACCTGGAAAGTTAGAAGTTGTTGTCAGTGGTGAACCTAAACCAGAAGTTCAGTGGTAGGTTTAATACATCAACTAAAAATCTTATTGCAAACAAGCATTCAATTAAACCTTATGAGCTTATATCAAGACTCTAAAGTGTAAAGCTGCGAGAGGACAGTTCAGTTATCTTCCTTGTGCTTCTGTCAAAGAGACTTGCATGCCACTAGTCTTGATGCAACTCCCACCTAATTTCACATGAACTGCACTACTGCATGATGATGTAATCATGCAACAAAGCCCTCCAACCATAGGAGGGCAACACATCTCCATTCACCTATATACTTGCACTTGTAGAAACTTCATTCTTTTTCTTGGCATTGTATTGACTAGATGTGTTCACTTTTTTTGTCTGAGTTCAATTTGTTGAGATTTGCATCTTTAACAAAACACTGAATTTCGTTTTCTTGTACTTTTGTTTCAAAAGTTTTAATTTATATCATACATTCTCAAAGACGGTGATTTATAATTAGTCCCGAGTGAGATACTTGGTTTACACTTAGGCTTTATTTCGATTATGGTTCCAGGAGGCTTGTTTGCTTTCAGGGTTGTTGTAGCTATTGTTCAACATGTTATAGATTACTACATGCTTAATGGGCCTCTTACTTTTATCCCATTGGCTGAATTTCTTTCTCCTTAGTTGGAAATGATTTATTTAAATGACCTTCACTAGTTTGTATTTGTGTTCTGTCCATCTTTTTATGCAGTTTTCCATTCCTTTCTCTTCCATTTGTCCCAACATTCTTTGATATCATGCGGATATGTGTTTGCAATATTCTCAGCCTAGGACAGGCATTCCATTTATTGGACTCTTTCCTTCTCTTTGCCTATTTTCTGAGTCTACTCAGTTGGAGTGGAGTAACTTACCTTTGTATCTAAATCCTTTCTCATGCCAACTCAGTGTTTGGTGCTTTTTTTACTCTCTTTTCTGAACCAAGTTCCACCTTCTCTTCTTCTTTGCATGTGAGTTATAGTATATCTGGTCACCAGGCTTTACACTTCTTGTTCTCTCCCTGTGTTAGAGGTTCTTTTGCTTTTTGGGACACTGGCTTTCCTGGAACCCCTCATTCCTTTGGGGCATGCACTCCTGTGTCTGCTACAGTGGAGTTTGTGGACCCAGAGGTTTCTTTCATGGTGTCCATTGTTCTGTTTTGTGCATCTCTCCTTGAGGAAGTGTCATGGTAATTGGACCATGCCTTCACTACTTCCTGCATTCCCTTTACTGCCTCTCAATCTGGATCTCTTCTTTCTTTAATACTTCCCTCTCTGATTGAGGCAGATTTCTATTTGTGGGCAGGACCTCTGATATTTGAATGCTAGGCAAGCATCCACTCCACATCAACCTGCCTGACATTCTCATTATTCATCGGGCATGTTGCCATTCCTGCATGTACTAGTGGATTACTTGTTCATGTTACACTTGGTCTATTCTATGGTTGCTTTTTGCACCGTCCATCCATGAGGCTCACTTTCCTGGACCTTTTGCTTTTGGGCTTTGAACTTACACTTCTGGACCTGTTCTCATCAGTCTGATTATTTTTGCATGTCATTTACTGGAAGCTTCAGTAGTGATAGTGGACAACCTCTCTCAGCCAGTCTGCTTTTTATCAATGGAGTGGTCTATACACCCCTGGTCTTTCTTGGGGTTTGCTCTTGGTTGTTCATACCCTTCTTGAATATGCTTGCTACACTTCTCAACTCTGGACTTTCTTTCTTATGGTCCACCATTCCATGTCTTTTGGCTCTGGCTGTCGATTTTCTCAGCCAGGCCTGGTTTCACCTCTTTCTATATGACTATTCCCCTAGTCATCTCCTCCCTTTTGTTCTTGGCTTTACACACTACTATCTTCCTTAGCCCCTATTGTTGGCACCTCTTTAACTCTTTCACAATGAGTGGGTCTAACTGAGCATGTCATGGTCTGTTAGAGATTTATTTTCAAAACTTTATTAAATAACTTTATCATTACTATATATCAATGAAATTCACATCAAAATGTTGCTTATATTTAAAATTTTAATATTATGTATGTTTTAATTTCTTAATTCAATTTATACTCGCTTGTTGAAGTGGACCACAGCCAATTGTTTTTACTTTTTTCTTTCTCCAAAACCATTTCCATGCACTTTTGCCACCAACGTGGTTTACACCCGGACTCCGAGCTTCGTCTCTGTGGTGTTCTTCTTCCCATGGTCCCTGAGACAAAGTTCTTGGGTCTTATCTTTGACCATAAGCTTACTTTCATTTTCCACATCAAGCAGCTTTGTGTCAATCCTCTATATCCTCTCTTCCACCTCATGGGAGTGGATTGATATTCTATGTTGAAGATCTATTGTGCACTCATACAATCCAAACTGGACTATGGGTCTCTGGTTTATGGTTCTGCCAGACCCTCTGCCTTGAAGATGTTGGACAATGTCCATCACCTGTGGCTTCGGCTCTGCACAGGGGCCCTCCAAATTTCGCCAGTCCAGAGTCTGTACTCTGAGTCCCATGAACCTTCTCTTTACCTCCGTTATTTGCAATTCTCTTTGCAGTATGCTACCAAGCTTCGATCTTTACCAGAGCATCCCATCTGGAGTTGTGTCTACCTTCCTTAATGGGCAGTCCAATGATTGGCCCATCCCATCATGGCTCATTATCACCCCGACCAGTGACATTTTCCTTGAGTCATCTGAAGAAGGTTGATACTCCCGATTGGAAGTACCATCTCTCTTTGTGGAACATCTTTCAAACTATTCTTCTGTTCCCGTTTTTACTGATGGTTCAAAATCAGGTGACTCTGTGGGCTCTGCCATGGTTTGTTGTGGCTCAGTGGTTGCTCACAGGATCTCCTCTACAGTTTCTGTGCTCACTGCTGAGTTGTATGCCACTTCTCTTGGTCTGGATCACATAGAAACTGTGCAGTACACTGATTGTACTATTTACACCAACTCTCTTTGCTCTCTACTGGCCCTGGAATCATTTAATGTTAGTTCTCACCCTATTCTCATTGATATTCAGAAATTAATGGCCCACTTTTCACTGTCTTCTGTTTCAATCTAGTTTTTCTGGATACCTGGCCATGTCGGTATTTACGGGAAGGAGCTTGCTAACACCGCAGCTAAGTCTGTCTGCTCTGGTGCTATCACAGCTGTACCTGTCCCATATATTGGCTATGGTCCTGTGTTCAAGGCTCAACTTCGACCCATTTGGCATTCGATTTGAAGTGAGAAACGTCATAAGACACTTTTCCAGATTAAACCTGCTGTTTCTCTTTGGCCATCTTGTCTCCATAAGAATCGGAAAGAGGAAGTTGTTTTGGCTAGGCAATGCATTGTCACAGTTTTTAACTCATCGTTTTCTTTTATCTGGGTCTGATCCACCAATGTGTGGCCTTCGTGACACTGTCCAACTTGACCGTGGTTTTGCGGGTCATTGGCCTTTTTACTTTGTTTAATTTTTTGTCTGATTTTTGGACTTTGTTTAGCTTTTAACTTGTTGCTTTTTACCTTTTTATAGTTTTACCTTTTATTCTTATGTTTATACCAGTTGTTTGGCACAGATAGCCTTGTTGCTTTTCACCATAAAATGCCAAACAACCAACCAACCTGGATATTCTCCTGAATCCTGTTAGGCTGTTTGATGTGCCTTTTCATGGACCTTTCCATTTTGTGATCCCCACCTTCTCCTGCCCATATCCTGGGACTCATCCTTTTTCCAATGGACCTCTTTCCTTCTATCCTTCCTGGATGCATTGACTTCTCTGATTAACATGTTTGTTTCAGGATGTGGATGCTTACTTTGCATTAAATTTATCACCTTCTTCTTACTCTTCCATCTCTTCTTCTTGAACCCTATGATTGGCATTTGTACACTCTCCACACATTCATCTCCTCCTCTACATCTTCTGGCTGTTTTATCTCCTGATGGTTTTCAGCTTCCACAGATTGCCATTCTTCAATCAACTCACCACTTTGCATTGAATGCGTACTGTTTCTATTTCATTTTCCAGGATCCCACTAGATGACTGGTGTTGCTGCCAAGGGTATACTTACCCAAATTTTGCATCGATCCAGGATAACAGAAAGCACTCATGCCATCTGCCCTGGCTCTTCTTGTGTCCACTGAGATAGCATGTTCTGCAAGACCACTTGAAGTATCCTGATGGTATATATTTATACATCAGTATTTAGTTAATTGTCCATTCCATACCGTTCCTATTCTATGCATGGAAAAAATTCAGCACCAGGAAAGAGCTCTGCCTACTTCTCTGGCTCACATTTGCTTGGTTTCATGGTCACCCATTTACTGCCACCAGTAAAAGACCTTTCCAAACTGCAAGACTATTGGGAATCTAGGCACTTTCTCCAGGTCTCCCTACATGAATTCTTTCCCCTTTTGTTGAGTGGAGCATGGGAGACCTTTACCACTTACCAGTTCCTAGCTACTAGAGTAGTGAACAATGGAAAACTCCCACCAGTTGGACTCAACCACTGGGACTGGATAAAGGAGTACCAATAGAGTGAGAAGTGGGGTGATAGTGACACTGGTCATCCCTCATATAAAACATATATTTCACTCATGCCACTTGTGCCCTCTTCCGGCCGCCAGAGTCTGTTCAGTAGAGTTGAGGTGTGCATATATTACATATGGACCAATACAACATATCTATAGTTCCATCCTTCTGCAACTGGAGTAAATCCTGTAGAGACTGACAGTAGAGTTGAGGTGTGCATATATTACATATAGACCAATACTACATATCTATAGTTCCATCCTTCTGCAGCTGGAGTAAATCCTGTAGAGACTGACAGTAGAGTTGAGGTGTGCATATATTACATATGGACCAATACTACATATCTATAGTTCCATCCTTCTGCAGCTGGAGTAAATCCTGTAGAGACTGACAGTAGAGTTGAGGTGTGCATATATTACATATAGACCAATACTACATATCTATAGTTCCATCCTTCTGCAGCTGGAGTAAATCCTGTAGAGACTGACAGT